AAAGAAACAGGAAGCTAAACATGTTTTTTTTTAAATTTGGCGTTATATAAAAATTAAAAAAACGATCCAACTGTACCGGTAGTTATTCTTTAAGCCACTGGAACTGCGTAGAGTTCCGTAGTGTGGCGTACCGACTACGCAGAAATTAGGCTGCGTATTAATGGGGAAATAGTCCCTGCGTAGGTTATGCGTAGGTTGGCGAAAAAAATTAAACATGTTGACTTGTTTTCGTTCATCTTGCGTACCCCTTTCTGTCCCTCAGCATATAGTAACGTAGGCCAGCGTATTTGGTAGCAACACTACGCAACTCTACGTATTGACCCCACGCCAATTAGTGACCCGCAAGTGTCACAAATAAAGTATTAAAAATATGCTCATCTGACCCTAATTAAACGCCTAAAACCCCGAGCTTTCGGGGGTTTATGGCCCCTTGAAACCCGTGGACCCCACGCCTATATTGTATATACACTCAACTCGCTGCGATCTGATCTCTCCCCCCCCCCCCCCAACTTTGAAGAACGTAACCCCCGAGCTTTTGGGGGTTTATGGCCCCTTGAAACAAATATACACTCAACTCAGGGTTTCAGGTTTCCTTCTTCATAATTGCCTATTTAAAAAAAACACCATTTTTCTAGTTCAATAACTATAAGTTTTCATGCATTGATTTGATGCAAGAACTGTAACATAATAGACCCTAGATTGTGATTATTTCTGACCATAAATTTCGATAATTATTTTTCAAAGTAAAATTTTCACAAGAAAATCAGACAGTCGTTTAAAAACGTAGACATTAGTAATACTTTTACTAATTCTAAGCTCAGGTTTCGTAAATCTATTCACGAAACTATATTGAAATCGCGGCAATAATGATGCAAACCAACAGATAACAATTTCAAAGTGTCAAATCTCTTCGACTCGAGCTCAGCTCAGCTCTACTCACACACATAACACTCCAGCGTAACTCCACGAAGCTCAAACACAGGCGCCGCAGGCCTCGGACGCCTGCGGTGCCCGGTGCCGGTGTTGGAGATTCCTCGAGTTACTGCACTGTGATGTGTGGTGACTGAAGTTAGCTTGCGACTGAATTGTCAGTCCAATGGTTTTCTTGTCAAAACTTTCCCTTTAGAAAATGATAATCAAAATTAAGTACACATGGCCGTAATAATCACAAAATAAGCTTTGATTTCATACCTCCATTCACGAAAACTATATAAAAATCGCGGCAATCATGATGGAAATAGGTCTCTAAGTTTGGACGTCGACGGGAAGCCCCGTGTATCTCTTGTGCAGCTACTACATGCAAATCCATGCAAATTAAAGCACATCCTAGCTACAACAAAGCACATCCTATAGAAAGATGCTTTACTCTGGGTAATCCCGCCCTTTGCATAGAGCATTTAATACGCAACTTAATGTGAGTGGATAGTCATCGGTCGTGTGTCTACGGATGTCATGTTGAATATCCATGAGGTAGCTCTGTCGTCACGCATATCCTGCATTATGCATGTCGCGTCTGTTTTCGCCCTGGACGTCGACACGGAGGAGGACCTCGGGCGGACTATAGCCAATTCGCTAGAGTAGACTCTCCCGCGGACGATGGCACCAAGCACGGGTACCCCGAGGGGAGGGTTCAGGAGGAGATAGCCGCACCAACTTGGGTCGGCGATCTCATTAAAAAACAATAGAATACAAAGGCCGGCGGAGACGTCGCGCCCCCCGCGGAGCCTTAGCGTATTACTATTATAGATAAAATCTGAGAATGTATACTATTATCTAGATCTATTATTATTATTATTTTTATGCCTCCGCCACCGAAGGTGGTGCCGGAGGCATCATGTTTTCGGGTTGTCCGTCCGTACGTCCGTACGTCCGTCCCGTTTGACCGTTATCACAATATCTCAAGAACCATTTAAGATTTAAACTTAAGACTCGGGAATAGTAATCACCATAGGAAGACGATCTGATTAGATTTTGGAGTACGTAGGTCAAAGGTCACAGGTCACAGAGGTCAACTTATGAAATTCCTTGTATTGAGTTTGTTAGCGCGATATCTCAAGAACCATTTGAGATTTAAACTTCAGACTTAAGGATAGTATGTATCACCATAGGAAGACGATCTGATTAGATTTTGGAGCACGTATGTCAAAGGTCAAGGGTCACAGAGGTCAACTTATGAAATTCCATACATTGAGATTGTTATCATGATATCTCAAGAACCATTTAAGATTTAAACTTCAAACTTAGTGATAGTGTGTATCACTATAGGAAAACAATCTGATTACATTTTGGAGCACGTAGGTCAAAGGTCAAGGGTCACAGAGGTCAACTTATGAAATTCCATACATTGAGATTGTTATCATAATATCTCAAGAACCACTGGAGATTTAAACTTCAAACTTAATGATAGTGTGTATCACCATAGGAAGACAATCTGATTAGATTTTGGAGCACGTAGGTCAAAGGTCAAGGGTCACAGAGGTCAACTTATGAAATTCCATACATTGAGATCGTTATCGCGATATCTCAAGAACCACTGGAGAATTTTCACTTCAAACTTAATGATAGTATGTATCACCATATCATAATATCTCAAGAACCACTGGAGATTTAAACTTCAAACTTAATGATAGTGTGTATCACCATAGGAAGACAATCTGATTAGATTTTGGAGCACGTAGGTCAAAGGTCAAGGGTCACAGAGGTCAACTTATGAAATTCCATACATTGAGATTGTTATCATGATATCTCAAGAACCACTGGAGATTTAAACTCCAAACTTGTTTAAATTGCTCTATGGCGGAGGCATCATTTTCGACTGCGCGCAGTCAAAATTCCAACTAGTTTTTTTAATAATTCTATAAATTGGGGTAACAAAAAAATATTCCACCTTTATGAGCGACAGTGTATTACACACATTGATAATTATTTGCCATTTCACTTCGATGTGATGAAATTATTCCCCAAACAACGTTTTGTCGCTGTAATAAGTAAACAAACATTTTGTACACGTACTGCGAATCAAAAAGTTTGTTGACCCACATAGACGCGCGTGTAATAGCCACACAGCGTTCGTTCTTACGAACCGGCGAGTAGGCGTCGAATAGGTATTCTCTGACTGCGCGTTGTATGCTGTTCGTTCTGACATGCGGTGAATAAGCGTCGAATAGCGTAGAACGTGAACGCGTTTGATAACTTTTTGTTTTTATACGAACCGGCGAACAAGGTTTCTCGGCTTATAACTTTATTATTTTATAAAGATATAAATTGATACATATATGGTATTAAAGGGCAGACCCCACACGTTCTTTCTGTGTAAATATTGTTCGGAAATATTAATCAGAATCATAATGAAATCCTCGTTTAAAAAGGGCTAAAACTTTAAATGCGTCTTTCTCGAAACTATATGTTTACGCGCACTGGGGTGGCTATTCGCCGGTTTGTAAGACTGACGACGATAATATGTCAAACAATTGAAAGGTTGGTTTAAATACATGTATATAGTTGAGTTCTGGTCATGCGATTTCATTGTGAAGAATCGGTGTGGAATCGATCGGAAAAAGTTGATGTAGCATATAAGTATTGTTGTGTACTGCAAGGTTCTGTAGTCATCAAAACGATAAGAAATTCGGCCCATTCTTGGTAAATTAACAAGCACTGTACACTGAAAGATGTATATGGGACTTCACAAACATGTGGCATAAAAATTTGGCCTTGTTTTTTAGCTGTTACTTGTCATATTTAAGAGCCATGCTTTTCAGGGAACATTTTTTCCCTGATGTTCTTCCATACTTGCATGATAAGAATGATAACGCTCACAAATTATTGTTTACCTCTCCCCAGAACTCAACCTTATCTTTAAAGGTGAAATTCAAAGAAAATCACAAATATGTCAACTAATGTATGACTAGAAAATGGTAAGCTAGCAGATGGCCATCGTACAAGTTTTAGGTTAACTACATATCGGGTGATTTATAAAAATACAAATACAACCACCTGCATAGCAGCTGGGATATACGAGAGTGATTCGCCGGAAAAATAACGATGTTTTAATGACGTCACTATATGGACCAATACTGCCCAAGCAGACGACATCCCATGAAGAATGAACATAATTGCAAAGCTTTTATTTGTCAAATTATAATGAGTTTAGTGTATATAAATGTGATGGCATGTCAAACCATTCAAAAGGGAATATGACCCGATTCCAATAACTAAAATCTTTTGCTTGTAAATACACAGGATAGGGGTTAATTAAAAATCAAAGAAACCAGACTTTCGAATTGAAAACCCCCTGGAATGATATTAAGGACGGCATTTGTTTCTTCTTGAAACGCCGAACATACCGCGGTGTGTGCAGCTGAATATTCAATGACGTCTTATTTTGTTTACAAGCGACAGATTCCTTTATTTTTGTATCGCTGCATTTGTCATAAAAATAAAACCATGTGCGGGGTTTAGAGTGTGGCAATTGATTATACACTTAGCCTGACGGTAGTAAAGTAAGAGTAAGAACTCAAGAGAAGATGAAAACACAGGCACTGAAAATGTGTGAGATGTCATGCATGGGACATCGTCTGCTTGTGCAAATCGTGTCCATACTGTGATCTCACACATCTCAGCAGCGTTCGGAGAGCTCTTCAGGTGCTATGCCGGGGCTGTATTTAAGCGTTTTATAATTTATAATAATCATTACTTCGAATGTTTCCAAGCATTGAATTTTGATAACCTTGTGGAATCAAAGTTTCAACTTTGCAATAATGAAATTAATTTAGTTTTTAAAATCGATGAATATCTACTTTAAGTCCTGTACTTGACACGGCAACTTATCTCAATGGGGCCATCAATATATTTCTTGATCTCTCACCATGTCTGTTGTCTTCGTAGTTTGTATATACATGCATACTAGTATATAATTATCATCTCAACAAATCTTTTTATTTTTATGTACATAACAATCATCATCATCAACATTGTTATTTTCGCCTTGTAGTTCCACTGGCCGACGCCGGCGGTACCCCAGAAGGTTTGAAGGTAACGGTCGACCAGCAATCCCCTCATCATCGACGTCGGGTACAGCTAATGAAACCGTTATCCACTCAAGCTATAGAAGAGGCTAGGTATGCATGAGTCACAGAATGTATTATCAAGCTCAGAACCTCAGAAACTTTTTTACGGATAAGCCATCAAACATTTCAAATTGTTCAACGGTTTAAAAAGAAATGATATCCTGGACAGGTGTATTAAAGAGCATAATCATCATGTCGCCAAATTATCAATTTTTGCAAGATGTCAAATGAGGTTACATAGTAATATACTTTATACACGAAAGATATTATAAACACTTTTTAGTTGTTGGTTTATGTCATGATAAAAGTACAATTATTATACCAAACAAAACGGGTAAATAATGTGTTCGTCTTTTATAAAAAGTTCAAACAATTTAATTTTACAATTGTATTGTGTACATAAGCCTCAGTCGGGATGAAACTAATTTAATAGTTTGCGACTCAAATACCTTAGAGGTCATCACTCTCTGGCTCTGCGTCTATTCCTACACTTTCTTAGAGGAAAAACAGCAGGTATATAATTTATAGCTAAATTGCTTATTCTAATCTAAAATGACTAAAATCTTGATATTCACCATAATTGATAATCAATGTTGGTGTTTTGGAGGGTTATTGTATATCAATAGTCATGCATGTACATGGACCATGAACTCGTGGACTATGTTCAGTGGTATATTATACATTACACTTTCCGACATGTTATTCCCCTATTTCCTGATACATTGCCGAACATGGCACTGGGATAGACTGATATTGGCAGGTCGATTATTACCAAGTTGCACGTAATTTTGTATACTATAATAAGACCATGTTAAAATTTGATTTATAATTACATTTGAGTTTATGAGTGTCAAGTTCATACGCACCTGACACTGGTTGCTAATTTAGTGAGAAAAAACAGTTGTGTAAGTGTTATATTTTTGTTGTAAAGAATTTTTTGGCTTGAACCCAGTAGATAAAGATCGCAAGCTCGATCTTCCAATTAAAAACAAGTCAGAAAAATACATACCGTGTATATATAATTTTTCAAAGATGACTTAATTTGATAGGATATATAACTGATAGCCTTGGTTACGATCATGCAGCACACTTACCATGACCATCAAAAGCTGGAAGTGCACATTTTATGAGGTGATAACAATTGACCTATATTCATTTATTGTCATAATAAATTGTGTGCTCTTGTGCAATAAAAGTGAGGCAAAAGGATTCTTCGTTTCTAATTTTATTGTGAAGTTTGTCTTACCTAAATTGCGCTGTAATACACTGTTGCCCATAAAGTTGATATAATATCAACTCGTTCTTTCTTCTTTTTATGAAAAAGATTGTGAGAATGTGATTTATTATTAATAGATAAAGCTTATATCATCTCAGATCTTTGTCAATCTAAAGAATCAGAGAGAGCATGGTGGCTCAGTCGTTAGAGCGCCCGCCTCATGAACGGGAGGTCGTGGGTTCGAACCCCGGCCGAGTCATACCAAAGACTTATAACAATGGGACCTTCTGCCTTCTAGCTAGGCGCTCAGCATATTAGATTGGAGAAGGGTAGTAATAACATATTATGTTATGCAGGGCCCGCTGGAAGAACAGTTTCATAACTGAAGTGGCTACCCTGGGTAAATAAAAGTTATTATTATTATTATTATTATTATTATTATTATTATTATTATTATTATTATTATTATTATTATATTATTATTATTATTATTATTATTATTATTATTATTATTATTATTATTATTATTATTATTATTTATTATTATTATTATTATTATTATTATTATTATTATTATTATTATAAGACTCTGAGGAGATATGAATCTAGCCATTAGAAATAAATCATATTGTCACAATATCAAGAGTCATAGAGGTTGGTCGATTAAGTTGTGAGAAGATATAAGCTTTATCTATCAAGCATTAATCACATTCTCACTTTCATTTCATGAATAGGGATATTATAAATATATATATTTTTTTAATTCCAGCTTTATGGGCAACAGTATACGTTTGAAAAATTAACTTTTTATATTTCTAGAGTATCCATACCCCCATTTTTTTCTCGAAAAGGGCGGGGAGAGGGTGGGTGAGTGATTAAAAAACTCTCCTGAGATGTTAAGATGTGTTTTTTTAAAATAAATATAGAGTTTAGTAATAGTTTTCTTCAAAATGTCTATAAACCAACCTACCCAAAACTTAACATTATTTTTTCATTTTAGTGAATGATCAAATGGACCATAATTTTCTATACTTACATTGTTTTAAATTTGAATAAGTAGGATATTTCACGTAACTTAATTTGTCGTTTACTAAAGATCATGTTTGGATTGCAAAGGGTGGGGTTGACAGGCAAGTCAGAACCGTTCCATTTTTTTTTTGGGGGGGGGAGGGGGGTAAGGGGCTCATGTTAAGCCAATTTATATACAAAAATCCAGTACGGAAATGTAGTTAATTTTTAATATAATTGTTTTCCACCATGCAGGCGCAAGATATTGAAATACTTGAATACGAGTACAACATTCAGGATATTTCGTCGTGACATCGACCCCGAAAATTATAAGTTCGGCACCAACTTATCCACGATCATGGAGCACAATCAGACGAACGTGCTGCCCTCACCGGTGGGTCACCGATGCGCTGTGGTAGGCAACTCAGGCATCCTTCTATCAAGCCTCTGCGGGCGTGAGGTCGATGACCACGACTTCGTTTTCCGATTGAACCTTGCCCCGGTCGACGGTGAGTTCTCCAGAGATGTCGGATCCAAAGTCGACCTCATCACCGTGAATCGGATGCAGCTTCTCGCGCTGGCGAAACTCTCGAAAGACTTGAATACAACGGTGCAAGGATGGATGTACATTAATAGATTGAATAATACTGTCACCGACAGCAGTATCGTCTGGTTTCCTAAAGGTTTTCCAGAGAAATTGAGTCAAATAGCTGTTTCCTTCAGAGATACTCTACAACTCCAACCTGCATGGGCGTACAGTCCTGAATCGTTAATGTACCTCGCATCGAAGTAAGAAACAGTTCTCAATTTAGCATAATGTACACGTGCATGACGTCACTATGTTGCTCTTTGACGCATCGTGGTCAGAGTGATAGCGTACATAAATTAAGTGTAAAACTAGAATTTTTCAAACATAGCGCCGAATTTCTGGCGTGTAGGCTAATTTACGTGTAGGGCTTGATTTTAACGCAATCGATTCGAAGCCTCGTGTGCAACCGGAATATGAGTGCTCATTCTGCACGCCTTGTGTTTTAAAAGTAATATGTATAGTAGTAGAATTAGTAGTATTTATTTCCCCGTTCCATTAGGGTTAGGGTTAGGGTTAGTAATTAATATGAATATATATACTTAACTAGCCACTCGTGCTCTTCAGTGTGCTCTCTTAGTCTTAAAGCTTATCTGCCGTAGTTTATAGGAGGGATTAGACTGCCCTGCAAGGTCACTGGACAGGTGGTTATCTCATCAACTCAGCTCTCAGTTAACATAAGAAAAAGAGGATCACGGGGGAGCAATGGTCACCGATTAGGCATTGTTTGTTATATAGAGGGCGCAAGTAGCTGCAAGTAGTGCAGTGGGCCTTTAAAGGGATCCGGTAACATTGTCTTAGATCCTTTAGAAATAATCCTTGATTTTACTTATGCTGCAATGATAATTATAAACCTTTAGGTCAGTCACATGCAGGAACTCCATGCAGGCACAGCGGAGCACCCCAATTACCGTGCGATCGACTCTCGTCCAGTAAACATCATTTGCATAAAATCAACAATTGTGTACCGATCGATGCGAAAAAAAGTAAACAAATTTCGAAGACAAATTCTTCATTAATGTGATGAATATCACCAATCAAAGCTACTAAATCGAGTATTTAATAAATTTGCAAGACACTCATGTGTATAAAAGGAGTTATTGATGCACAGAAAATGTGAAATTTAAGGGATAGTTTTGACGAACAAAAACGAAAAAAATGAGATACAAAATCACCGTAAAATTCATCATTTCTTTTAGAGCGAGAAAGAATTGCCTCGTATGAACAGAAAGAAAATTTAATAATCTCAATCCTTGTGAAATATCTCTTTTCATAGTTGCTTGATAGGGTCGTCTCAGAGAAAAACATACCCCAATGTCCGAATCTCATCGAACAAAAATAATCCTTCGTTGTCGCAAAATTGTTTGACCAGTCCCATACATTCAAATGTGTGTCATGTCTGAACCTCGCGTGTGCGTTGGCTATACATGTCTTGCCAGCCGACTGCACACGTGCACGCTAATGGCTCAGCTGTTTCGATCTGGCATGCACTGGGCCTAAGACGCATGCGCAGTACATCGCTGAGATCGATGACGTCATGTTCAATGAGTTCGCTGACTACAACTTTTAAAAATGAAGCCCCATGAAAAAGAACGTTATAACCAAAAAAAATACAGCGGAGAAGCGAAAATTTCGCCCATGTATGGATTTAACCCTAATGAATATTCATACCAAGTCTCTACTTCGTGCATTGCTTGATAGGGTCATCGCATTATAAAGTAGACGTCGTGTTTTTCGAGGGGCGAAGCTCAAAACACATTAATATCTCGAGTTTTATTCCATGGAATTTCGTATTTATTTCACTGACATAAAATTCATAATAATTTTAGTTAGTATGGAAAGTTTCATAGCGATATTGGCAGTAATAAAGGCGCAACGCGAATTTTAAGATTTGACATTCTAGCACACACATGTTCGGATTCACGCAGATGTCCGTTGGTTATTCAAATAGAACGGGCCGCTAATGATATGCAAATTGGGGTGCTCCGCTGTGCCTGCATGACTTTTACAAGCCGATCGCCTGACTGATTATCAAGATATTAATGATTGGATTACAAATTTTGAAAACCGTTCGGCGAACGGTTTTTATAACACTACAGTCTATTGGGAAAACGAGTATGGTAAAACCGGTCATTCAAAGATTTCTACTTTTTTGAAGCACTTGATCATTTTGAAGCTCGATTTTTTTTTTTAGGGCTTCAATATTACATCATATCACAGACACTGGTAACATGTAGGGCCGTATATCTCAGATTTAACATTGTTAAACGATCCAGATCATACCTGTGACACAATCGCAAATATTGTCGAAAATCAACTCAAGGGCAACTTCAATACCCTGTTGTCAAATCAAATGGAATTTAATGATGACTTCTCAATATGTTTTTTCTTCTTTAAACTTGTGTTGGTAGAGTATGGAAAATGCCAGTGCCTTCGACGGGTCTATCTGTGATGACTGCAGCCCTACTACACTGTGATGAGGTCACAATGTATGGATTCTTCCCGTTCCCGCAGGATTCCCGGGGACGCACCTTGCGATACCATTACTACGAGCCTAATACGGGGCCGTTCTACAGCAAAGGAAACCACTCCATCGGCGTTCACAAGATGCCAAAAGAATTCACGCTTTTACAAAAGCTAGCAGAAGATGGCGCACTCCGCTTAGTCACAGAGCGATGTTATGATAACATAATTATTTGATGTTGGCTGATATTTTCTTTTTTCTTTTTTTATTCAAACTATAGTTTCAAATTGATTTATATCCAAAAAGTTTAGAGTCACTAAATAAGAGACAACATTAAAATCACTTATTGACACTTCGAAAATATGGTCAGTCAAACTAGTATTGATGGTGTTTTTCGTAGTCGATAGGTAACCAGTACCTTTGATAAGGAGTTACGAGTAAAATGGGTCAAGACATTATTTGGTTTATATTCCTAGTAAAAAAATCACTTGGTCGATGTATGGCCTACAAAACGTCTATCAAGGAAGGGCATCGACAAAACAAACACTTGGTAGTGGCGTGTTCAGAGGGTCTGCACAAAGTGGAAAGTTACCATTTAGAGACACTAACTGGTATATACACACCTAAAATAATCTAACAGTATCAAGTGTCGTCTGGAACGTTTCATAGTTTTCTGTCTGTACCTCCTGGTTGGGTGTAATGGTATCGTAATTCATTTGCGTGCGAGCGAAGCAAGTGAGCAAAATAATTCAAGAACTGTTCTAATCTTCTTGTGATGAAAGGTAATCGAAATGGGGAATGCATTAAAGTACCTCTCCCGTCTCTCTCTCTCTTCTTTGCTACCAACTGCCACTCTACCTATAAAGTAGGCCTATACTGTCTTTCAAATTAATGCAAGTGAAAAAAATGTCTTTCAAGTAAAATTGTTATTTTTTTATAATGTCATATACTTGCTCAGCCTTTAGAAATGTCTTTTACATTTGTAGGATTTAATTACTGTTTATTATACTTAATCTATTGATATGCAAAATCTGTACTTTTAGCATAGTATTGTCCTTAACTGTATTTAGCTTATAAAAAGAGTCAATTTGAAGAGAGATATGTTTTAATTAAAATGGTGACCAAATAATGAAGAAAACAATGATAACAAGCAAATTTTGCACTTGCACTGAAACAAGTGAAGACACGAATCGGGGTGTTATAACACAATATATAGTATCCCCCAGGGGCGTACGCAGGGAGGGGGGGGGGGGGGGGGGGGGGGGGGGGGGGGGGGTAAGAGGACACTTTTTTTTTTGGTCTCGAAATTTGAAAATTTGACATTTTTCTTTGTTGGGGGGAGGGTGGTAAGGTTACCTTTTTTAGGTCAGCCATGGGCATATTTTTATTATTTTTTTTTTTTTTAAATTTTTATAATTAAAAAAAAAAAAAAAAAAAAAAAAAAATCAAAGGGGGGGGGGGGGGGTTTAGGTTTTTTTAGGGGGGTTTACACACATACAAATACCAAAGGGGGGGGTTCAACCCCATCACCCCCCCCTGCGTACGCGCCCGTGTGAGAGAGAGGGAGGGAGGATGGAGGAGTCCTGAAAAACGTCGAACCACTCCCGCTACCCATCCTCTCCAAGCGCTATAGTTCTCCTTAGAACTATAAGCTAAGAAAGATAACCAATAGTCTTTTTCAAGACTACACCAAATGAACTTTTCAGGACTACATAACCTCAAGAAAGATTACCAAGAGTCCTTTTTCAGGACTCTTCAATCCTCTCTCTCTCTCACACGTTGCATCCGCAAGCCTACTGTATAATTGATTTGTATAGTTTATGGGGTATTCAAGTTGCTCGAAAACTTTAATGGAGGAAACTTGGGATGTCAGGTCAGATTTACCTACATTTTGTTTCGTTGCAAAGATTCCAACTACACAAAAGGGTCATCAGACCAACCCTAACCCCACCTTCTTCTCTCACTTTTCTGCCTTTATTAAAACCAATTTAATATCAGGGTAGACTAACCCCTTTAAGTTACATCACTGTCCTTAGTGATATTGAAATTTCAGCCCCACCTTCTATCATTGGTAAGTTCAGCAAACCTCTACGTCACGACCCCAATTATCTTTACTAATTGCCTCGGATGACTTTTAAAAATGATTCATTATTCTCCTATGTCATGCTCCGTCCCCAAAACTATCAAACATAGGCGTCAAGCAAGAGTTAGTCGACAAATTTAAGATGTAAAAAAAAAGGTCTTAACCTTAACATCTCCAAAAAGCTGTCAAGAAAAAGATGCTGATAGCTAATAATAGCTTGAGGCACTGGTTTTTTTTAAAACATATACCAAATGTGTCCGCAATAGGGTCTGAAATGAAATCATGTTTACTAACTTCAAATATGTATTTTTAGGAACAGGACTATTCATATTTTTGAGAAATGCAAATTTTAGACCTTAATCTATCTCCTTTTTTATTCACCAGATATGAATACTTTGAGTTTTTACAATTTTATTGTGAACTATAGCATATCTAATAACTGTGATATAAAACTCATTTGCTATTAACTTCACCAACAAATATGTTGGTCTTTAAGAATATGTTTCAGAGATTATTCATGCAAATTTTTGAGTTTCTATCTTGAAAAATACAGATTTTCTGTCCTTGAAAGTGAAAAATAGCTCCAAATTTGGGTTTTGACAATAATTTTTTTTTTATTTCAATAGGTAAAATGCTTTTTTCTTAGGTCAAACTTATTTTATTATAACAACTGATGATATAAGTTACATAAATCCAAACAAATTGGGGAACCAGTGCATTGCCTAATAATTTTCATATGTCACACCACTGGTGTTTCGGACGTTACACATTGTTAACATGATAACTTTATTCAAGTTAATTGCTTTTCTTTAGGTATTATTAACCTAAGTTACATTAATTGTTTGCAGAAAAATATTTCTTTAACATTTATTGAAAAACTTGTGCAGTTTTAATTAGTTTTGCACATATACCTAGTTTGTCTTCATGGACTTCTCAATTTGTGTAAGGTATACTGTTCATTTCAGGAACGTGTAGTTAAAAATGCTTATGTGATCTAACAAAGTGAAATATGAAGCTAATAGCAATTGTAGTCATCACAACTCCTAGAAAATTCACTAACAAACATACTCTCTTTTGCAGGTTATGAACAACAGTGTACAATATATGCTATAGTTTGTTTCGGATGTTACACGATGTGAACATTTCAATCAGATCATCAATTTCAACAAACTTTACAACATAGATGTTTAATCGGCTTGCTTTGTACTTTGCCTTAAACTAGATTCATGTAGTGTGTCATTCAATAATATCACTATCACATATGTACAGTATGTACAGTGTAAGCAAAACATTACAAAAATACTTTTAATAAATAAAAGTATACAAAAGTATCCCCAGCCATTTAAGTAATAAGAAATATGGGAATCCTAATTCATTGTACATCCCGATATTTTTGCATAAATTTGAGGAAGATACTATATCTTTAGGATCATGAAATGATCATTAACATGTACATTTTGTTATGAGGTCAAGCATTTGAAAAGTATTTGTACATAAGGCTAGTACATTTGAGGGTAATTCATCAAATGAAAGGAATTTTTTTTTGAATTAATTAATTTTGAAGAGGCTACACCTTATTTTCATGTTCATGCTTTAATTACCCCCATAAATTGGTAATCCATTTTCTTGTCATTTATAAATTTCGGCAGATCTACAGCTACGTGAACATTATGTTGTACAAGTTTCTATAATAGGAATTGGATACTGATTACTGATTATTGTTTTATAATGGAAGCCTTTGTGCTCATCAATAATACATGTATGCAACCAATGAGTGTGTCATGTAGTGTGCAAGCCAATTTCATAAAATTGCTTGATAAATTGTTATCATTATTAAGCGTAAATGCCAATTCCAGTTTTGGATAATGGCAGTAGTAATCCTTTCAACATAGATTAGTTATGTACTGAGTGCCCTGTTTTAAATGTATTTTCAGATGAAAATACATATTTCCCATAAATGTTTAGAAAAACTTTTTAATTTGCTTGATTTTATCAACTTCATATACCTGTATCATATCCATGTCATGACCATGTACACTGGGTATTGCTTAAGTGGGTGATTTTGAGTTTTGTAACCTACCAGATAGTGTAAATTGACCATACAATCTTTGGTTATATGACATCATTTGGAACAACCTCTATAAAAATGAAAACCTCATGATTTGCAAACACACACCGATGTAAATAGCAAAGGAGAGGTTGAACAATGAAATTTGCTATTCTCACATCTATCATTGCCCCTCATTTGAACTAGTTAAAGTATGAAAATGTCTGTTAACAGTTTAATGTAACGTCCGAAACGTGCTAACAGCATACCAGAAAGTGCTGTTAAAGTGGCTAAATATTTGTTATGAGTCACTTATGTTGAGATTTTTTCTGATAAATTACAATTAGGGATATACTGAAGCAGCCAGCCATGCCTTGCATCACAATGTGTGGCTTCAATATTTTATGTTTTAGAAGTCAATTTTGCAGAAAATTTAGATATTTTACGGATTATTTGATTTTTGGCATCATATTTCTACACATTTTTATATTTAAATCTAAATAAAATCATCAAAATAGTGTTTTTAACAGGAGAGTCCATTGTGAAATGGTAACTTGCAGATATGATCGAAAATTAGGTGAAATTTGTCGACTTTGTGTTAACAATAAAATTGTGTAACGTCCGAAACACCATTCTTGTGATTACAAAAAATTAATGGATTTGAAAGACCTAATTTGTGTTTTGACTTGTGTTAAGACTTATAATAACTTATTTAATAATGATTTAGTCACTCTAGATACCTTAAAATATGGATTATCATCATTTTATTGGTATTTTTTGTTTCGGACGTTACATTAAATTTTGTTTCGGACGTTACAACTGTTAACGGAAAATTGGTTTTAACTATAAAATAGTATTGTAGTAATGTATTGCAAATTTCTTTGTTTTTGGTGGGTAGCTGCCATGAGATGTTACCAAAATGTTATGATAGATATATCCTGCTGTTCATATATTTTCTGCTACTTCAAATTGAAAATTGTTTCGGACGTTACAAAACTGTTAACGGAAAATGAGACGAATTTTTCAAAATTCGAGTTAATTTCTAATATAAGCGCTACTATAATTAAATTATATTTTCTTTTAATATAATCACTTGGAGCAACTAATAAACTCACTCAAACCATATATAATCTCATTAATTTGTTGTTGTTCTAGTGGGTTAAATGAGGGTCTACATTGTTTACGGAAAAT